GTTGACTAGGGCTAGAGGTTTACCACAAACCCCTCTCGCATGCTTCTCCCCACCCCAAAGTGTAGGCACAGAGCTTGCGCAGGCCGGCCTGTGTCCTGAGTCATCCTCTCTGGCCTGGGTCCTGGGAAGCAGCAGAGTGGAATCGTGCCTCCTGGCCCACGCCAGGGAGGCTCTGCTCTACTGGGCTTGTTGCTTTGGGGATACTGGACTTGGGGCCAAACACTGGGTTCGTTGCTCTGGGGAGGCCGAGCTTCGGATCCCTGGAATGAAGAGTGCTGTGAGGGAGGGGACCTGCAGACCGTGAGCTGACTCCATGGCAGACCCCACCTGAGCCGTCTGAGAGGCTGAGGGCGCGCAGTGGGCCGGAACGGCCCGGCTTCCGTCAGGACCAGTACAAAGAGCAAGAGACGCTTCTCTCCAGCCAAGCGGCAAAGCGGTTCGCTTAGAGGGAGCCACGCCAGAGCGCCGCCTCCTCCCCACGAAACCTCCTCATCGTGACTCAGCTCCTTTCGGCCCATCTCACCTACAGCCCCTGGGCTGGGGGCCATGCGAGCTTCCTGGTCATTCTAGATGGCGATGCCGTGGTCTCATCTTCACTGACCTGCTCCTGGCTCAGGTCTCCACCACTCCGACAGCCTCGTCATCACGATCCCTGCACCCTCTCCCATGCTCCTTGGCCCCAAATACAATTGCATAACCTTCTGTTTCATCTCCTTTCTTCTCTAGAAATGGAAAGTGATTGGAGATCCAGAGGAGGAAATTGCTTCAAAACACACATCAGCTGTCACCCACCACGGAGCACCACTTAACAGGCATCTGTCCCCAACCCAGCCATGTGGCGGCTGCCGTCTCCCACAGTGACCTGAAACCACATCCCTCCTTCCCCTGGGTTACCAGAGTAATAATGGAAATACTCGACCTCCACTTCTAAAAAGGGGGACGACATACTTTTCCCTATCCCCTCTGCTAAGCACAGCTCAAAACCCTGGATGTTGTATATAAAACAAACACAAGAAGACAATGAAAGGTGAATAGAACTTCAGCCAGCGAGCAAGCTCAGGACCAGAGGAGCAATATGGGAAAAGGTTCCCTGGACTTAGTTTTGCCTCACCTATCTCAGACTAGGTGTTGGAGAAGCAGCAATTTAGAAATTCCAATAAGCTCAGAGCCGCCCTGCTCCTCAAAAAAAGGCCCAAGAAAAGTCTGTTGAGCCGAGGGTCCCAGAAAGGGGCAGCCTGGCAAGACAGAAAACTTTTAGACAACGATTGCTCTATTCCAGCACACATCACAGAAAACACTGTGGCTCCACCCCCAACCGTGCCTGCAAAGGCAAACTGGGGAGCCTAGAATTCCACCTTTGCCAGGTAATAAGGAGGTACCCCAAGCCCCATGTCACAGTGGTGACAGAGAAGGTCATGTGAACGGCCAGAACTTTCATTCTGGCTGGGCAGTCATGAGCCCCCTTCTCTCTGTGGGGTCAGTGGAGACCATGTAGGGACCCTGAACTTGCACCTCCACTCAGTGGTAATAAGGTGGCGCTCTCCCCTCCCATGGGGGTGCTGTCAGAAGAGGCCTAGTAGAGAGGCAGGACCTTCCCACTGCCCAACAGGAGCAAAGCCATCTCCCAGTGGAGTCAGCGGAGGCCACCTGGGGAGCAATAATGCTGAACCCCTAACCCTTCCAGCCAGCACAGGCCTAATGGGGAGCCTAAAACCCCACCCCAACTAGCAGTAATGAGAAGCACATCCCCAGCCAGGTGGCAGCAGTGAGGTGGTGTCCCTCTGCCCCCACCACAGTGATGTCAGAAGAGTTTTACCAAAAGGGAAAGTTTCAATGAGATCTAGAATTTAGCATAATACCCAAACTATCCAGGTTCTGACCAAAAAATCACTCACCCTAGAAAGAACCAGGAAAATACCAACTTGAATAAGATAATCAACAAATGCCAACAGCAAGATGATAGAGACACTAGGATTGTCTGACAAGGATTTTAAAGCAGTCATCATAAAATGCTTCAGTGAGCAATAACGAACACATTAAAACAGGTGAAAAAAATAGAAAGTTTCAGCAAAGAAATAGAAGACATAAAACTAAAAAGTAAAATAACCAAAATAAAGTACAACTCAGCAGATGGACTAAATAACACAGAAAGAACCTAAGAAATGGAAGGCTGACCAATAAAAATGACAAAACCTGAACAAAGACATAGAAAATCAGCAAGGATACAGAACCCAACAACGCCATCAACCAATAGGGTCTAATCAACATTCATAGAACACTCCATACAAGAGGAGACACATTCTTCTCAAGCACTCGTTGAAATTATACTCAGATAGACCATGTCTTGGGTCATAAAACAAATCTCAACAAATTTAAAAGAATTGAAATCATAGAGTCTGTTCTCTGACCACAATGGAATCAAACTAGAAATCAATACCAGAAGGATAACGGGAAAAGTTCCAAACATTTGAAAACTAAACACACATGTAAATACCCCATAGGCCAAAAAAGAAGCCTCAAGGGAAATTTAAAAATACTGAATAAAATGTCAACACAACGTATNAGAAAAAGAATGTCTACCTCTTTGCTAGGGTGGCCATATGGGAATAAATGAGACATCGACGTGTATGTGCTCAAGAAATGCTAGCGGTTCTTGCTATTGATTTTCTCATTTGCAAATGACATTGTGCCAGGGAGTGACAGGTATGCAGAACAACACAGCAGGGTGAGGGGCTGGTGACAGGGCAGGGCAGGGGTGGTGGGCGAGCAGGGCGGACCTCGCTGAGGACGTGGCACGTGAGTGGGGAAGACGGGTGCCCGAGAATCTGGAGGGACAT